TCTTGATTTAGACCTTAGAAGATAGGGACCATACCATGGAGGGACCATACCATGGGGGGGGGAGGGGGGGGGAGCCCGCCGGGGCGTGACCATATATAGAGGGTTAAGTTTTCATAGGGAAATGGAGAATCAAATGGCAACGAAAAAAGGAAAATGAAATGGAAACTGGGATGATGTAAGGATAAGCTTCGCTGAGGCCCTCAACCCTGAACCCTAAACCCCTAATCCCTAAATCCTAAACCCTAAGCCTCTGAGACCCAGACGGCCAGAGCGAAAAGCTCCGTTAGGACGAGTCCATGTGGAGCATCGGGATCTGTGCACTTTCTGAAATCTGAAACCATCCGGCAGTGATTCCGCGTGTGTAGCTAGGCAACAGTCCGAATTAAGCCAAAGAGTCCAAAGCAGGGAAAAGACGCTTGGCCAGCAAGTATGGACTGAAGATTTCAAAATGCCGGGGTTGCTGTTAAGGAACTTGATTCAAGTTACTATATCGGGGAAACCATGTTAATGGCAACTTAATTCAAGCTCCTTAAGCCCTAAATCCTAAACCCTATATACCCATAGTATGGCAACTCAGTTTAAGGTCCTTAACAGCAGCCCAGAAATTTCGAGAGCCCTGGAGCACACAACCAGGCCTGACGTATAGTCCTCCAGAGTCAAGCCGTGCCGGTAAAGGGCCTGGGCACGAAACATCCCATGTCCCATTAGGGTTTAGGGTCTGTTTACATAAGGGCTATATAAGGAGTGTAACATAGGGACCATATGAGCCCTGGACTAAAGTTATAGCATCTTCCCTAAAGGTCCCTCCTCAAACCCCTATACACTCCCTTATAACCAACCTAACTTTAGTCCGTAGCTCACATGTTCCGGGTAAGGCACTCGTGATGCAGTAGATGGCACTACTCTCGTGAGGTCTGGGAAGCAAGCTGCATGAAGGCCTGCTCATCGCACGACGCTTCCCAGAGCTCTGACCGCCACATAGGTGGTTGTGAAAATGATGGTCCCTTTTCGGGTACCCTAAATATTAGGTGCCGTATTATAATAGGAGCTAAAAAGGGACCATAATTTTGACAACCACCCACATTGAACGCAGTGCCTGCGTAATGGAGGCGCGCAGCTGTTTCGACTGCATCTGGTTGTTCCAAAGACCTCTGCAAGTGTCAACACTGATAATGTCTAGTGCTACAAGTAACACTGCGCGCGCCTGGCGGTGTACCAACCTGGATACTGCACAGCCTGCAAGGATAGCGGAGGCAGACAAACAAAAAAAGAGCGAGAAAGAGGGAAAGGAGGAAAGAGAAATGATAGGGAATGGACAACGGCAAGCTTGTCATGGAGCACCTCCATCAAACCTCACCGCGGAGCTGGTAGAATATGCTCCATGCTGTGGAGGCTGGGTCGCCAACATCTAGCAAACAGAGGATTTTGAAGTAGAAGTGTAGAAGGAATATCCTCAACCTGGATATCGCCCTGCTGTCATCTTGATATGCAGTCCATCGATGCTGCTAAACCCTCGGTGGACTAAAGATGCAACATGGATGCTGGTGTCTTTCTCCCCTATAACCCCAATATAACCCCAATATAACCCTAATATAACCCCAATATAACCCCCAATATAACCCTAACCCAATAACAGCCTCCTTTGAAGTTAGGGATTGTGACTCGGAGTTGGGATGATTCAGGTTTCACAGTACCCCAATAATGGAGAATCAAATGGAAAAGAAAATGGAAAATGAAATGGAAACTGGGGTTATATAGGGGTTATGTTGGGGACATAGTATTCTATTTAACAGCAGGGCAAAATGACGGCCTTCCTCTTGAGCAAGTTCCGTGTTTGGGACTGGAAAGTCTCTGTTGTTATCCTTGCTCGCTTGTTTTCTTGCTTGCTTGAGCAGCTGCCAGCGACACTCACCAGACTGCAGCACTCAAGCAGCAATTTATTGAAAACCGCAACACTACAACAACAGGCTTTCTCAACACAAGCTGGCCCGAATTTTGTATCAGCATTCATTCACTGTCCTTGTGCATCGCATTCCGTGAACCTTATAGTATCCGTTGCAGCATGTGACACAAGGCCGCGCTGGTGATTCCCAATTGCACTCTCAGCCATACAGCAACGGGGTGTGAAACGACATCGTGCGGCGGAGCCGCTAAAACCTCCTAGAAATGATGATTCTCTTAGCCAGGACTCATTTGAGCCGCACCACCTGCAGCACCGGCTGCTCTGACAAGGGGCCCAGCATGGAGCAAAGCAAGACAAGAATCATAAAGTCAGGCGAGCTACCGCCAGTGCGCTTGCTGCCATGGTAAGGAGCAACCCTGAGCACAGATGCACAATGAACTATTATTATTACCCAATAATAATGGAGAATCAAATGGAAAAGAAAATGGAAAATGAAATGGAAACCCTAGGTCCCTTTAAAGGGGGTATATAGGGACATTACCCCCAATAATGG